AAGAAGAAGAAGAAGAAGAAGAAGAAGAAAAAGAAGAAGAAGAAGAAGAAGAAGAAGAAGAAAAAGAAGAAGAAGAAGAAGAAGAAGAAGAAGAAAAAGAAGAAGAAGAAGAAAAAGAAGAAATGAATAGAGTGTATGGGTTTAAAGGCCCTATCGACACTATTAGGTTATTTATAAGATGGGACCTCCGAATTCAACGTCCGTCTCAACAGCACAGAGCCAAACGGGTTAGATGTAGAACTTTGAAAACGCTACAATTTGACCTGCATTGAAGTACACCCAGTTTGGAGATCGAACCAAGGCCATTTGCACTGTAGTCTAGAATGATACCAGCTGAGTTAACGAAAGACACTATGATACAAATCCAGGGCAACACCTCGGCAAAAACATAGGTACGTTTTGGGCAGAATGAGCAGGCCGCTCAACCACTACACTTTTGTGTTACGTAGGGGCCAGAAAGTATCGTCCTGCTGGCCTGAATAAGTCCGCGAGCCGTGAGTTTGAAACTTTTGCTCTGACTGTCCCCGTCGTTTTATGCAAGAAAAACTCTGCAAACTCAGCCCAAAAATGTGAAATTTTGCTTTTCTGTTAATTTTAACAAAGAATGATAAAGGAAAATAATCAGAAATTCTGCAAAAAATTATCAAATTTGGTTAAACTATGAGGGGTGCATAAAACCACGGGGACAGCTCTGATGACGTAGCAAGACAGGTGGACACTGTAACCGCTGATCTCGTAGTGAGCTTTTTTGTTTTTTAAATCTGTCCAGAGTGCTCAGAGCCTGTGTTCTTTAATCGATGTTAAGGGCAATAAATGTCACCGTACTTAATTGTCCGAGTACGCAGTTTTGCATTTTATAAAACAAGTCAATGTTTGGGGTTTATCCTTCTCTCCTCATCAGATCTTTCAACTCCTCCATACGTTAGTTATGACGCTAGACCTCTGAACCTTGGAGGAAGATACACGCTAGAATGTCACTCCAACTTCGGCGAGACTGCTGTTACTTACAAGTGGACCAAAGATGGCGTCGTCCTCCCATCCACTTCCAACAACTATGTTGTGAGTTTTTGTTTGTTCGTTTGTTCGTTTGTTTTGTTTTTGGTAAGTGTTTTACGGCGCTCAGAACTGCGTAAGGTCATATATATGAGCGCACGGGACACATCAAGCATTTTCCGTTGGTAGGAAATTTTGAATTTTGCCCGGGTGGCGGCCGAATCCTACTCTTATTGATTTTGGACAACCAATGGGTCTTTAACATGCGCAACGTGCACACGGGACCTACGAGATTTTTCGTCCTTGCCCGAGAAGGCTAGGTGTAGATCTTTCGTAACAAAAGATCAGGGGTGTGGCGGAAAGACAGCAGTAAAAAGAAATCAAGAAGTAGCAGTAGAAAGGCTGCAGAAAGAGTCAGGAACCCAGAGGAGGGGGCAAAGGAGGGGGTGGCTGTCAGAAAGCGGAGCCGAAAGCAGACGACAGAACACTGTTAGAGAGCAGCTAAAGAGAACATTTTAGAGAAAAACATTTTCCGTCGCTACCTGGATTCGAACCCGGGACCTATTGAATGAGAGGTGGACACTGTAACTTCTAGGTCACGAGAGCCCCTATAGTGATTTTTTAAAAAATTTGTCCAAAGTGCTCAGAGCCTATGTTCTTTAATCGATGTTAACCTCTTCACTGCTGTATAGACGTACTGGTTTTCATTCTCCAAAAACTGGTTCTCTTCCCATAATTTGTTTACCAGTTTACGGGGAAGTATAAGGAGATGTACATGTGATCATAACTGTGAAGTTCAGTTTTATTTAACTAATGGGAAATATAGTAAGGCATTGTCTCTCTTGAATGAACATTTTTATCTTGTCTGTGCTAATGTTGGTGGATACGTCTCAGCAACGAAGGGGTTAAGGGCAAAAATTATGTAACACTGCTTATTTGTCAGAGTACTCAGTTTTGCATTTTATTTTTAAAAAGTCAATGTTTGTTGTGGGGGGTTTTTTTGGTGGTTTTTAAAAAAATGATGTATACCCCGGAGGATATTTAGTCATTTTGGGTGATATTCTTTTACTTTTGGGTGTATTTTTTTACTTTTGGGTGATATTCTTTTACTTTTGGGTGTATTTCTTTGACAAACTTGATTGGTGGCAAAGTTTTCAAATGCACTAAGTACAGAAAGTAAAGCGTTTCTAGAAAAGAAAAAAAAACTTCCTTTTTCCGAAAGGGGGGGGGGGGGGGGGTTGTTTTACTTTTCTTTTCTTTTCTTCTCTTTTTCTTTTTTGTTGTTGTTGACAATTGTACTTTACGTTACGTATCCTCCCCTCCCCCCCCCCCCCCCCCCAGGGAATTGCTACTGACTGAAGTGTCTTTAAGCCATTCCCAAAGGGGTGATATAACATGTTCTCGTAGGAGCTTATGCAGTTGCGAGCGGTGTAAAACCTTACTAAAACGTTTTTTAAAAAACGTGTTATTCCTTGCTTTAAAAAAAAAAAAAATTAAAATTTCGAAATAACATTTCGTGAACACATGCAGCCGATGCCACGTACAGATCAAGACACTAAAATTTAAAAGGAAAAATAATCAAAATTTTGAGCTTGTTTTAGTCAGGTTTTACGGCTCGCAACTGCATAAGGTCATATGAGCGTCAAAGGGTATATTACGTCAACGGAGAAGTCCAGACGGGGGAATCAGGCTTACTCTGCTCACCTCTCTAGTCTCCACAGCACAAAGTCTGCTTCGACTATCAAGGCACCCCGGAAAAAGCAGTTCTCAAGAGAGTGACAAACATATAAAAGTAGTAGAGGAAAATGACGATAGTAAGGATGAGGACAGAAAAAGCAGCACTTCCCCCTATTTTGTTCTGGCACAGTATGAGCATGACTTTGATAAATCAGTCCATAAACAATTCTACTGTGCATACGAACATGTTAATATTCCCCCTTTGGGAATGGCCAAAAGACACTTCAGTTAGTAGCACCACCCTGGAAAGGGGGATGGGGGGGGGGGGGGGATTTTGGGCGTATACATCTGAACAGCTGACCTACATTATGATTCTCACCATCCAGATTCCCTCGATGGCTGCGAAAGATGCCGGAAAATATTCTTGCTCTGTAACAGTGAATGGCAAGACCTTAGAGGCCAAGAACCCTTTTGAAGTGGACACACCAGGAGGTATAACTTTTGTTTGTGCTTTAGCGCGTGTCATCCGCAGCTTCTAATATACTGTGTACTGCCACATCTGACACTTAATAAGTCTGCTATTGTCTCAGCAAGGACCATCTACACAGAAACCAGGTCATAGTACAGTCGAAATTGTCCGAGACGACCGCCTATTGTGGAAAAAAAGTGATTGTCTTAGACAGGTTAACAACTTGGACAGTGTCTTTATAATAAATAAAAAGCACATGTGTACAGGGAGGAAATGGGAAGTGGTCATTTGTCTGTCCCTGTCGTTTTTATGCAAATTTTGAAATTATGCAAACTGAGACCAAAAATGTGAAATTGTTCGATTCTGTTAATTTTAACAAAGAATGATAAAGGAAAATAATCAGAAATTTTGCAAAAATGATCATATTTTGCTAAATTTTGCGGGGTGCATAAAACCAAGGGGACAGATTTGTATAGAAGACTAAACTTACCTGGACATATCGCTACCTCAGAATTACACAGTTCTGTCTGCACACTACCAAGTTTTGAAAAATTTCACGTTGAAATTTTTGAGTTTCACAACACGTCAAGCTTTATCGAAGGGAGTTCTTTGAATAACGACTCCGAATAATCTTACGATTTGAAAGAGCAGATAGAACATTTGGTACCTGACCTCAAGGTCATTGTGACTGAAACGGAAAAAATGTCAGTTAGAACTTTATAATACAAAGGTAGTGATGTGGCCTTTAGAGAAGGTTCGAGTATAATAATATGAATGCCTGTTGTTGAAGTTATAATTGTCTCGACGCGGCGGAAACAGGCTCTCGTCAATTTTTGGGCGAGCAGAATTATTGGTTTTTTTTATCATCTTAAAGCTCGTTCATTTGTCTTGCTTTTGATGTAAAAATACCCGTCTATCTTAAAAACATGTCAAGATAAATGCGAATGAAGGAGATGGGGGTTACCTGGTTTCATAAGTAAAATTTGTGAGAAAATGGCTGCTAAAAATTATTTATTTCCTTAGCTTGCTTGAGAGTCCATGTAAACTGAAAATTTGCAATGTCTGTGCTTTTAACCAATGTTTTTCCAGTAAAATCCACACAGACGTGTGTTTTTTAACGGACATAAAAAGTGCTGAGCTAAAACAGTAAAAAAAAAAATTAGATAAAAATTCACAAGCCTGCGGGAAAATGCCAGTTTTCTTCACTTTAATTATTTTGACGAGAGCCTGATTTCATCATCCTGCCTCACATTATTAGGACACGCATTCTGGTCTGTCGCTTTCAACAACGCTCGTAGACGCATTGCTTTGGAACACTTAAAAAGAAGTGTAACTTCCTTTTACATGATACACATTTTACAATTCAGTTTCCTTTATCTGAAAAGTATATATTGCAAACTGCAACACTGTCACTATGACATAATATGCAAATTTGCGTTTCTGGTGAATAATTATGCCGTAGGCCGAGAGTTCCCATTTTGCCACAACTTGGCCTTTGGTCTGCTTTCGGTTATGTGAGGCATCGTTGTAAAATCAGGAGGGCATCAAAATAATGTATTCAAAGAAATGGCATCTTCCTGCCCGATTTGAAGTTTTGTAGAATTGTTTTTTTTGGGGGGTTTTTTTTGGGGGGGGGAAGTGAGGTTGGGGTGTTGTCTCAACATCTTTTAGGCTCATTAAAAGGTACTTTTGTATGTGGATTTTCTTTTACTGAAAAACATTAATTTAAGACACAAATTTATTTTTTTGCAGCCTCCGAGGACTCTCAAGCTTTGTAAGACACCCAACTTTGACAGCAATTTACTTGCTCATTTTATCTTGCAAATTTTCCCCAAAGCGATCATTAACGTGTAATTTACTGATATTCTTTTATTATCATTTTCAAACGAGGTAGTGCTTGATGAAGCCTACGTGGGACGCTCACTGTTAAAAACAAGCAGAAAACGGCAAATGCAGTTTTTTCGAACACCTGAATAGACATAAAGGTCATGAACATCTAGCTCTCAATGGCAAAACTGAAGGCAAACGAGGCAGGGGTAGGCCCAGAGCAACCAACTTAGGAGAACCTAAACAAATGGGTAACGGGGGAAAATCAAGGAAACGTAGCTTTTTTTAAGAGCATCCGAACAAAAGAATGAATGGAGAAACATGATCGCCGATGTCTGTCGCCGCAGATTTGGCACTACTGGATGATGATGGATGGTTTTTTCGGTTTGTTCACAGCTAAGGGTAAGGCCTGTAAGGCTGCTCTTTTCACCGCAACGTGCAGTGGAGAAGAGTACACTGGTAACTGTCTCGCTGGCCGCTGTGAGTGTTCTCCTGGTGCAGAGCTTCAACAGAACGGTTGCGGTAAGTAGCACGGCACGTCTTTAATTCTTAAGAGAGTTTTACAGCACTTTCAACACAGATAATATGTCATATAATTTAGTTTTAGTAAGAGTTTTACTGCACTTGCAACACAGATAGGTCATATGGTTTAGTCCTAGTGAGAGTTTTACAGCACTTGCAACACAGATAGGTCATATACATATTAATTATAATTTAGTTTTAGTAAGACATATACGGTACTTGCAACACAGATAGGTATTACAGTTTGGGTTGGCTTTAGTTAAGAGTTTTACGGTACTAGCAATACAGATAGGTCATAATTATAATTTAATTTTAATAAGACTTTTACGGCGCTTGCAACCCAGATAGGTATTACAGTTTAGGTTAGTTTTAGTTAAGAGTTTTACGGTACTTGCGACACAGACAGGTAATATAGTTTAATTTTAGTAAGAGTTTTACGGCACTTGCAACACAGATAGGTAACATATTTTAGTTTTAGCAAGAGTTTTATAGTTTAGTTTTTGTGAGACTTTCATAGTTAAGTTTCAGTTCGAGTTTTACGGCTCTTGCAACACAGATAAGTCATATAGTTTAGCTTTAGTAAGATCTTTTAGTAAGAGTTTTACAGCACTTGCAACAGAGGTACGGTACGTCGTTTAATTTAGTTTTACGAAGAGTTTTACAGCACTTGCAACACATTATGTTTTGTTTCGTATTGTTTGTTTTTTTGTTTTTTTTAGTCGGTCTGAGTGGACAAATTTAAATGAATGGTGGACAACCACGATCGTCGATGTCTGTTCCAGATCTGGCACTTTTTGACGATGATGTTTTCTTCTTTCACTTTCACTCTCAGCTCTTTCAGTCGCCTCCAGCGCTCCTACAGTTGTGTCTGACGTCACCACAGCCATGAACCTGGGCGGACGTTACATTCTGATCTGTGCATCTACTGCCAGTGTGACTGGTGCTACCTACACGTGGACCAAAGATGGCCAAACTCTCCCGTACACTTCCGCCACTTTAGAGGTCAGTTTGGATGTTTCGTTAATGATTTTCATTTCGTGGTAATTGGGAAGAGGATGAGCTTTGTCGCGTTTATAGTGATGACAATTTGTAGTGATATTAATGATAACAGTACCGTAATAGCAATAACACAACCAACAACAGCAACAAAAATAATATTATAGTATTTTAAAATTATTTTGGGGTAAGTGTTTTACGGCGCTCGCAACTGCATAAGGTCATATGAGCGCGCGGGACACTTTTTCAGTTTTTAGGAAATTTTTTCAATTTTGCCCGGATGGCGGCCGAAGCCTACTCTTATCAGTTTTTAGACCACCAAGGGATCTAGCTTAAACAGGCACAACTTGCACTCGGGCCCTCCGAGATTTTTCGCCCTTGTCCGAGAAGATCAGGGGTGTGGCTGAAAGATCGGAATACACAACACACAACCATTAACACCATACTGTGCACACTACCAATCGGAAAACACAACACACGACCACAAACACCCTGTGCACACTGCTAGTCGGAATCTACTGAATTGTGTCAGGGACAGCCATGTTCGCTTTCAAAAAGGGGGGAGGCCGCAAAATCTATCCTTTTGACACAATACAGACGAGTCGACACGCAACCTCGAAAAACAAACGCGTTTGATTTTTAAGGTCGCAGTCAACCTAAGTCGAATTCAGTCGTAAAGTCTGCAAACACTGGCAGCTTTCGCCCCATCCATAAAGCAAAATCTATCTGGCCCCGACTTGGTCAAATGAATTCGATTGGCAGCGTGCATTCCATATAAACCACACACACACACACACACAC